GCGTGAGAGATGTATCTGAGGCCAGATAGCATTTAGATGAAAGTGAATTTTGAGGGCAATCCAATTTTCCTCTGCACAGGGCATCTGTTACTTACTTTTATGGGACAATCAAAGTTCTCATGGAAGCCTTCTCTTGTGTAGAGGCCAAACACTTGCACCTGCAACAAGCAACAACAAAAGGTGAATAACTCAACACCTCCGCTTTAATTGCCGCCTCTGCAACTAGCCCGAACCTTCGGGGAAAAACGGCGGAAAACCCATCTTTGATTTGTTCCACCAGGTCGCCAATTAGTGCACACCTTGATTCCGGGGGAAAAAAAAAACCCTGCGGGCTTTAAAAGTTTGCTAATCTTCGACTCTACCGCCACTTCTTGTGTACTGTAAGAGGACCACCAAGTTGACATTAGTGCATCACAGCCATCTGGGGGTAAAATCACGCCAGATCCTGATGGCATCTCAGCGGCAATTAAGGATTAAGTTAGATTCGTAGGGATTAAAGGGCCCCCTGAATTCAAGTGTGACTGGCAAACTTATGATGACGATAACCATCAGTAACAAAGATAATTTCCTGCGCTGAAACGGCAGGTTAACACTGGTGCCGTTAAACCTGTTCAATATTTCAGTCCAACGGTATTAGCACAGAGTTTGGTGGCGGATAAGGGGTGCCGATGGAATATGGTGCTGTGCCACTTGTGTGCTCAAAGCTCAAGAAGGTGAAAGCTGTCCGACCTTGCCATCCTCGGAGCAGATGCCCACGTGCTCGCCGCTCTCGTCCAGGCTGATCTGGTTGATCTTCACCGAGCTCTACGGGGACAAAAAAAAACATGGCTGTATCTCAAATCACTGTTGCTCATTGAAATGAATGGAAATACCATCAATCCGTTCCAGCCTCCTCAAAAAAAACAAAACATCAAATCTTTGTTTTTTTTTAAACAAAAAAAATTGCACTATTATTAATAATAACAATCAATCAAAGAAAACAATGTGGGAAAAAGAACCTTCAGATTTCTATGTGCATCATTATTCTTATTATTTTGGCATCTAATCAGTCAGTAAACTCACAATTTCAAACTTCTGGGTGACATTTCCTTGGATGTCCAGCAGGAAAACCTTCCCAAAATGTGTCCCCAGAGCAAGAAACTGGAAACACAAAAATAAGTCGAAATTCAACAAGAGGAATGACAGATTTTTGAATTATAAAACAAAATTGTGTTTGTGTGTAGGCGAAGGGGATTTAAAAAAGAATAATAAAAAGGAGTATGGGTGCGGATTGGGTGAGCTTGTGAGCAAAAGTGTGAAATTGCCATTGCTCTTTATTAAGTCAGGCAGTGTGAAATGGCATTTCTTCTTAAATTAAAATGCTTCAGCATAATAAATGCACTGTACGTCTGACTTCTCTTCACCCTCTTGCTGCTTAACTAAGCTAAGCACAGAGCTATTATTTTCACGGATTTTTTTCATTTCATGTGGGTGTGTGCAGTGTGTGCGTGTGTGTGTGTGTGTGTGTGTGTGTGTGTGTGTGTGTGTGTGTGTGTGTGTGTGTGTGTGTGCGTGTGTGTGTCCACTGGGGAAAAAGAAAGTAGGTATGGAGGGGAGAAAAAAAGAAAAATGTGGCTTTAAGTGTGTGTTCGTGCACCCCAGCCTAATCCCCCCCTACCCCCCTCCAACACACACACACAGCTCTCTGGCAGCATGTGGCCCAGCAGCATGCTTGAGTGCAGCCTATAATGAAATGCTTATATTTACAGGCACAGCTGAGCGTGTCACACAGACCCCGCCGCAATCTTCCCAAATAAAATAAAATAAAATAAAATAACACAGAAATAAATAAATAAAAGTGTTGGAGGGTCGTGAGGCGCAGCAACTTTTAAAAGGGATTTATCGAGACGGGGGATTGTTCAAACGGAAATCCCCATTCAGACGCTTAAAATATGAGGCCACATGCTCGCGTTCACGGTGGGGAAGCGAGAAATTTTGGTGGGGCGACGCTGGCGGCTGTGACCATGCAGGGCTCTGACCAAGTGCACAATGGCACTCATTCGACTGTGGGAAGCTGTCAACGAAGTTAAGGTAAAGAAAATTTTATCAAAGTACTGTAGTACTATTTAACAAAATACATAAGTAAATAAATATAAGGTAATAAAATAATAAAAAGAAAAAAATACGTTTTTAAAAATTCAAACAAAAATGTACTTGATAAAATACAAAAAAATTTGAAATGGTAAAAAAATTGTCAAAATGGTAAAGATTTACATCATGCAAATAATGTTCAAATATACACATGTCAAAATGGATCAACTATGGCCATGTTACAACTGTAATAAAAAAAAATGACTGAAATCAAAGTTGGTACCATGTCTAACAAAAAATATAACAATATAATAAACAATAATATAAAAATGTAATAAAGACAGAAAAATAATACAATAAAGTACATTTTATTGTTTTTTTTTTTTTTTTTTTTTTAAATAGACTGCTGGTCATTACAGTTCCCAGGTTATCGTAGCTCGTCCCTGAACTGCCACGAACACTCCTGAAAACTGAAAAATATGGAAACTAACGAACAAACCAACAAAGAAACAAACTCCTTTTGTGGAGGCAACAAATGTCCGACTCATGCTTCCCTGTGGTGCTGATTCGTCAGCTTGCAGAACTACACCCTGGTGGCAGGCCTGCGATGACAACCATCGGCGAGAGAGCGGGAATGAAAAGTGGAACCGACAATGGCGTCTGGCGCGTCTCCTTGTGAGGAGCGGCTACGCGCGCAGGTGAGAAAGCCATGTCCCCACGAGACGGACTGTGAAGCGCATGTCTCGACAATGTGCCGGGCAAAGGCCCTTGCGAGGTGCGGCCCACTGGTTACCTTGTCGTGGACGGTCATACAGCTGGCTGCGTCGCTCTGGAGGATTTCCGTCACGCCATTGGAGAGGCGTTCATATTTCAGCTTGGGCTCCTCCTCGCTGTCCTCCTCCTGGGTGACAAAGAAGATGCACCACATGATTGACCACTTTTGACGCGCCTTCAAACTGTTATCATGACAAGAAATGTCCTGAACATGACATTCACATCTGTTTTATTAGATTAGTAGTTGATTAATCTATTATTTGTTGCACCTCTATTCATTATTCTAAGTTTGGAAGCAATGTGGGGTTATGTGGCTATTGCAAATTGTCCCCAAATTGCAGCAGATGTCTCCTTGAAGTTAAAATGACGACCACGACGTGAACGGTCGAACGATGTCATCCTCGGTTTGAACTGTAAAACTGTGACTTCCACCAAAAAGAAGGAAAATTGTCCCGACTCTGTGGCGCAGGCAGCGATAGATGGTAAATGGTAAAAGTTTGAAAGTGCGTAGTTTCTCTGCAGAGGGATACAGTTTGGCTTTTTCTCGTTTGATACGGTGGCACAGTCCGTGACAAATGCCCTCGCATCAAAGCTCTCGCCACCGTAATACAAAGGAAATAGCCTAGGTATGGCATTGTTGAGTGGGAAAAGGATTGTTTGTGAAAATAACACTTTCTCCACGCTCTTGTCCCACATTCAGCCCCCCACCCCCACACCCCCTCCAAACTCAGCGGGACATCAGAGCGCACCCAGGCAGTGTTTGGACTTCATACACCCGGCAGACGGTGCAGCATCATTTAGAAAGCTGATTGTGAGTAATCAGCCCATGACGCACCAGCCCACAAGTGTTGCTATGTGCCGGCGGAAGACTTGTAAGTTTGTTTTATGAAAAGAGCAAATGCATGGGGATGAAGCTTCCTTACGCCAAAATGAAAATGTGGTCACCGCATTTCACGCAAAGTCATGGAAAGCCCTTGTGCTGCTGTCTTGCGCATAAGAGGAGCCATATATGGCATGAGTTAGTCAATTTAGTTGAACCAGTGTGCATATTGTGGCTTGAATGTTTGTTAAAATACCTCCTTTATGATCATATTTTCGCTTTTGTCTTCTTTAAATGGGAATTAATGTAAATTTGATTTTTAAAAAAGGAATGTTTCCAACTCACTTTGTTCTCTTTTCCCGCCAGGTCGACGGATGAATCTCTAATTTATTTAGTCTACTCACGACTCTCGGGTGTAGCACATAAGAGCTGAAAGTGACTCATAATATTGACAGATGTGGTAAAAACAGGTGCACCGAATAAATGAGTGTTTTGACACCTCTGAAAACAATCCTATTGAGACTGGTTATATACATTGTGAGGTCTTATTAGACTTGAAACATCAGCGGGGCTTGACGGAGCTGTGCATACACTGGACAGTGATGTTGACGGTAAAGAAATAACAGCACACTGAGGAAAACTACTCATTCCAGACAGTGAGATCAGTGGTCCTATTTATTGATCTTACCTCTGATTCATCTGTAAATTCCTCACTGGGTTGTCTGCTCTGTTTTGGGAATCACAGATTAGATTAGCTCAAATTTGATTCTAATTACACATCACAAGAAGTATAAAGCACTGAAATCCAGATTGCATCTAAACAGAGTACTAGTCTAAAATCAATAAACATTACATTATTCATATATCTCTATATATACACATCAATGGGCATGATGACGTATGAGTAAAAACACAAGAGTACAGAGTGGAGCTTTGATGCACTTCAGGCATTTCGGGAGCTAGAGTAGCCTCGAAATAAAAAGCATAAATAAAACAACCGAGCTCTACATTTGAGGTTGAACGAGTTGGTTTGGTCGTGACAACATTAGCAGGCTAACGTCAGCGGGCTAACCTTACCTCTTCAATCACTTCCGCCATCGTTACGCCAGGTCTTATCCGACAATAAACTTCATCCGGCCTGGAAACCTACTAAAAAAAATCTCGAACGGTACCGTTATGTACCCGACATGACAAAGACCCCTAATAAATAAATATTAACAACATAGCAAGAGTGATGGTTGTTCGCCACAGACTGCGGGTGCTGTCTCTAATTTGAATCACATGACAAAAATATTGAGGCCGGGAATTGTGGGTACTGTAGTTGTCTTGCTGGAAAGTGCTGCACTGGCCCACCGAGAAGGCCGCTGTCATGGTGGGAGCACTCAATTCCGGAGAATTACGTTTCTTCAGGTATGAATTTAGGCGATAGTTTTCAGCGAATGTTTACATGGTTAGGTATTTTACACTCCAGCATTCAGCCAGTAAATGAATGTTAAACGATGCATCAAATTAAACAGCGTCAAAACAGGTAACGGTGGACTTTTTTCCCCCACCACTAAGAATTCAATACTGTAATGAATGTCCTTCAATGTGGTCAAGGATGCACGCAGTTGCTGATGCAATCTGTTCGCTTTTTAATAAACAAAAAGAGGCAGCAATTAAAACACATTCACAGCAGCTGCTGCTGGCCGCAACTCACGCCCATGCGCTCCACACTCAGACTCCTCAACTTGGCTCGTCCCCTCTCTTTGACGTCACCCTTACTCAACTAACCCATCCCTCAAATGCACAAATAACAAGAAACAGATATTACAATGAGATGGAAAAAAAATATTACGTGCACTGGCTTCATTACTTTGTATATATTTATTTTCTATCAGGGACCATTTTGTTTTTGTGGAACTATTCTGCGACACTATCTATTTTCTTTTTGTAATGCTCTCCAAAACAGTGGTCCCCAATCTTTTTTGTGTAACGGACCGGTTGAGACAAATACATGCTGTTTGCGGACCGGCAACCAACCGTTTTGTTTTTCATTGCTTTTAAATTGCAAGTTTTAAAGTACGGGTACTGACAACAAGGACAATTATACAGTAAATCAACATTTTATTAACGTCCATTCCTTTTAAACAGTGTTATTCTACTGCACAACAAATGTTGAATCAAATAAAATAACCGAGTGAACTATTAAGATAATTAATTAGAAAATAGAAATAGATAGAAAATTGACCAATTAGGAATAATAAATTACCCTTTTAATGAACCATAATCATTTACATACGCCGTTAGCATCCATGCTTCTTGCAAATAAGACTGATTTTGGGTGCCTAATTATGTACAATCATGAAGTTACTGAACAGTAATCATGAATTTATTGAGTAGTGTTAAAATTCTCCTCAAAAATCTTTTTTTTTTTAATGAAGGTTGTACTGTAACCAGTAGGAAATCCTCAATGTGTAATTGTTGAATAAACACACCAATGAATAATGATGACATTATTGATTTGGTTGACTGGCAGAGCTCTTTACACACACTCTCACGGGCGTATTTGGACCCCTCCATTCGTGTGGTCGGCTGCCAAAACTGGAAAGAGGGCCCGAATCCACTCTACCACCTTCCATCGTCTCTCTACCAGCTCCTTCTGGTTGCTCGCCAACTTCTGACCGACTTTATGAACGGTATGATTTGACTTGTCTTTATTGAGATTGTCTCACGCTGCTATTTTCCCCGCTTCGTCCATCCTCAGGAGGATCCTAATGCACTGATACCAAGAGGGGGATTTTACAATCTACTTAACAATGATTTATTGATTGAGGCTTCCACCCTCAGAGAGAATTACCTATTCCTTTTTGGGAAATCAGATTTTCACACCTTTTCATTCACATGGTGATGGTCCCGGCGGATGGCGCCACTAGCTTTTGAGTGGCAGCGAGTCCTCTGTAGTGTCACTCCGCTGCAGTGCCCGCTGTACAGCATGCCACCCTGTAGATGTTTACATAATTTATGGCTTGATAAATGCAGTGTCCAAGCTCCACTTCATAGGGCATTTTTTCATAGGGGAAAATAAAAGCAGGAAAAACAACCCTTGCCCCTCATAGGAGGAGTCAGATTAGGGCACTAGAAGCTTTGATGCTCCAGAATGTCAGTCCAGTCGATCGATCTAGCGAAAAAAAAAAGAAGAAGAAGAAGAAATATTTTTTAAAATAATAATAATCACAGAGATATACCTGACCAATCGAAGGCTGTGCTCCCTGTTCCGGACCTGCTGGTGCCGAATGAGCTTCAAAGAGCTTTTTTTAATACACTCCTTTGATAACACTCAGCCTGCACTCGCCCTCCAATCATCCACCAGGGAGGGTTTGCTGGAGAGAGAAAGAGTGGGGAATGTGTGTGTGTGTGTGTGTGTGGGGGGGGGGGGACTGTTGATCCTTTTAATGAGTGTGATGGAAGGAAAATTATCATATTCGTTCTTCACTACATCAACTGCGGCTTCTGTTGAAAAGGAGAGTAAGCTTTAGTTGCCATTGGAGATGGTAGATAACACCTACAAATGAAATTACATTTCTGATTTTCATCCATTTTTTTCCCCCTGAGGTGGGTAAAAATATTGATTCCGTTCCCCATGCAAGCTTGCGAGCGTTGGATTATTTCTTTACAGATGATGTGAAAATATCATCATGGAAAATGTCCCTTTTGTCCAAACATGTACTTGTGTGGAAACATGATCCCCACTAAATGCACATTTTATGTCCGTGCAGTCCTGTATCATTTGAGAGAAAGATCATATTTTTGGCAATGTTGATATTTCACATCCATGTACAAAACTACGATACATTGTTAGAGATTGTGATATGGAACATTGGAAAATGTGATTTTTGACTTTATCCTAAAAGTTAATCGATCATAATATCTTGCAATATCAATATTGGAAGCTAGTGCACCAAAACTGTATCATAAGATGCAATATCAATGTGGGAGGCTGCTGTATCGCTACTTTAACTTTCAAGATAATATGTGATACATTGCGTTTGAAATTTGATGCCGATGTATCAATGCTGCACGTTTTGACACAATAATACACCACGTCGCCATATTGATAGTTTGTTCCCCCGTCAATCAACACCGTCCCACTCGTGCGTCAGGGTGCTTGATGGCGCGCCCCATTTTTAATACGCTTGTCACCACAGCGAGCCCCCTCACCCCCGTTTGACATGACACATGATCATCTCTGAAAATGCTAATCAATAGAATGAGTTGAAGCTGTCGCGGCTGCTCAATGCCAGCGTGTCTGGTAACAACGTCACTAGTCATCACACATTGTGTTGCATTTGATTTTTGGAGTGCACTGAAATCAGATGTGGGCCATCAAAGCACATTTTCTCCTTTTCGCGCACCCCCACCGCCAAGTCACCTCGTTCCCTTCCTCTCCCCCCTCGCCTTGATAGGTCCACTGGAGGGCAAAATGAATACCTAATTGAATCTTGCAGTCATCAAAATAATCAATAGCTTTTTATTATTTATTCTTCACAGTCTGTTGGCTGCTTGAAGGCTGCAAGGGGCAGCGGGGAGCAGCCCAGAAATTTCACAATGTAATTTTCACCGGGGCATGAGAGTTTGCAACACCTTTAAAATGAGAGCAGTGTTTCTTTTTTCTCAGTGAAAGATGTGTGTGTGTTTGTGTGTGTGTGTGTGTGGGGGGGGGGGGTTAGAATAAAAGAAAATGGGAATCTTTGCCCCGGCAGCGATGATGAAAAATAGAATAAACAAGCCAGTGACACTTTGGAGAAGAGCGGCATTCTCTCCGTCCATCCCTCTGTCTTTTTCCTCCTTTTTTTTTTTCCTTTCCCCTTTCCTCCTTATTTCATCATATCACAAGCGTGTGGCGCTACCTTCCTAATGCCGGCATTCCTCTTCCTGACAGACTCCAAACAAGTGCCGGGAATGAGATCAGGTCTCTAATCTTCCTCCGGCTTGCCAGGCTGCAAGATGATGGTGGGGATGATGATGATGATGATGATGATGGTGGTGGTGATGGGGGTGCTGCTGCTGGTGCTGGTGGAGTCCCACAGATCTCAGCACCTAATTGAATGGATGAAATTAGCCGTTTATTCATTTACCCCCCCTTGGAAAAATGCTATTAATGATGAGCTGGTCGTCGGACTCTATAAATGTATTTATAAGCCGATTTATTCATGATTGCATCATTTGCAAAATATGCAGATTTGTATGGCAGCCAATTACTTTGTTCTAATAAGCCAAGTGTTTGTACTTGGGTGGGGGGTCGGGGTGCGAGTGTCTCCCAGCATCCTATCACTGCGTTAATTGAATCAATGAATGAGGTGTTTATTAATTGAGCCGCTTGGAGTAGGGTAATGCCATTAAGGACCATGGGATAATCCCATCATATAAATCGATCCTTAAAGGGATATTAACAGAATTACCGAGGGAGACTCAGTCAAGCCTGTTCAATATTAACTTAGCAATGAGCTCCATTTTGATGTGCATGACTGCGTGAGAGCTCAGAGGAAGACGAAAAAGCACTCCGCGCCGAATGGCGAGAGATGTGACAGTTCTCTGCATCAGATACGCCGACGCTCATAGCGTGTGGTCCAACACTAGATGAGGGAGGGGGGATACCGGGGTGCCAATTGATCCTTGAATGGGGCAAGTGTGGTTAGATAATGGGTGAAGTGTATTTGAACATGACCTACTCGGGGAAAAATTGTAAAAGAAACATGTTGTGATTGTCATGAATGGGTCCTTAGTAGGGTTTTAACCCCCCCAAAAATCTTTTCAATCGCACATTTTTAGTCAAGAGATGTGAATGCATTGGCACTTGAACAAATGGAATTGTTCCACTTTATCATATGCCGTCCAAAACGCCATCGACGGGCTTATCAGTAGCATCAAAGTGGCAGTGATGCAATAATGAAGACAGACGACTTATCAACACTCACTGGTGCATATTGACTGACTGTAGTGCGTTTCAAAAAGTGGAAGAATTTTAAAGGGGCCCTTTCATCCTTCCATTTTTTTGTATGCGGCCCTCAAACGAAAAAGTTCGGACAGCCCCGTCTTACGTAGCAGCATGACCAACATGTCATGTTTTCTTCCTCGAAATTTTTGGTTTTGTTCATCCACACTGAACATCAACGCTGCACTTACATTGAAGGGAAAATAAACAGTACTTCATTTAAAATGCACTGCACATAGGTTCAAATCAAATTTGAACTACAAATCTTTTCTTTCTCTCATTCTTGTCTCCTCTTTCTTTCTCTCTCCTTTTGCTTCTCTCTTCCTTCCTTTATCTCTTCCTTTCTTTGTGCGCATGTACACATGCTGGTCACCTGCCCTTTGCTCAGACATATTTAGGTTGATCCCCTAAATAAGGAAGCGTAGCGCGGGCCCCGCTGCTCCTCGTCTGCGTCTCGGAGCCCGAGGTGGGGTGAACACTGTCCGAGGAGTTCTTCGGTGGCCAAACACAAGGCGGAAGAGACAGATAGAGTGAGGGTGGGCAGTGTGCGATGGTGGGAGGGAGGGAAGGTAGGAAGGAAGGAGGAGGTGGCGACGGCAACATCCCCGCCGCTCGTCTTTATGAAGCCACCTCAGCGTGAAAGCTGCGCTGGCCGTTTATGTGCTCGCGGCTTTTAGGTGGCACTTTTCTGCTAGTTGGCTAGAGTGGGAGGTCGTAGTGCGTCGTCATGTTTGATGCCCCCTCACGTTTTGACTGATTTCAACATTGGGAATCTCTTAAAAAGCTTCATTTTTGAAATTATTGATTTCTGTGGAGCTTCGTTTAGGTAAGAGTGCGCTTCATTGAACTTGGCCTCAGAGCTCAAGACTGTTGTGTGACATTTTGGGGACCAAACATCACATGCACGCCGTCTCATGCTTTGCTGCTGACAGGATGGCTTGCATACCATCATCATATATGGCTATTGATACAACCTATGCAGCCTGACCAAATTTGGGTCATGCACTTAGCAAGCGTGAAACATTGGAGCCGTTTCCGTCATTTCTTTTGTTTTCATCGAGCAAGCGTTGTAGATTATCGTTGTTTCGTAATCCTGTCATGAGCAAAATATTGCTATTGTATCGTATCATCAAGTCGGCACAGCACCGTATAGAATGGGGTGGCTTGCTGTGACTTCTTGCATGTGATGAGCAGCCCATATGTTGACTATTCCCATACCAACCCCAAAACATGCCAAGAACGTCAAAGCCATTCGCTGTTATTTTCTTTTTTTTAATCTCAAAAATGGCATTAAAATATATAATGGGTGCTATGAAATTCCCAGTGACAAAATATTAAATTAAGTCAGATCAGAGAGAGAAAGAGATCGTAGAAGAGTTGATATCAACATGTATCCGTGGATTTTTGAGATTGCAATAACATTCTGTCAGTTCTTAGGAACTGTACTTTGCACCCCCAGCATCATGGTCTGAAATGGAGCCGATGGTTGTACTATGGGTTTCTACTTGGTTTGCAAATAACGATTATTTTAATCATCCGTCAATCTTGTGTGATGGATTGCACTCTGTTTTTAATCGTTGTTTCCCGTTGGAAGTCTTGTGCAAGGAGTCAGGTTTGTTTTCACCTGCTGCTGTGTTATCTGACCACAAAGGGGGGAAGTTATGGAAGCTTTTTAAACAGCGCATTGTTGGCTAAAATGAAGCATGTGTCAGGTTGTAACGCTACTTTGCAGCATCACTTTGTGTCGAAAGGCAGCCGGAGAGGGAGGGAGCAAGGGGGGAGAGAGAGGGAGTGAAAGAGCTTGCGTGTGCGTGTGTCTATGTGTGTGTGTTGTTTAGAAAGGGGGGAATGCGGGTTACGAGAGAGAGTGAGTGCGAGGTAGCCAAGGAGAGCGCCTGAGCACGTTCTAACCACGGCTGTATTTTTCTTTTTTTCCCCGCCTCCTCCTTTGCTTTTGGCCGCCTCGTCCGCATCCCACCTGGCCTCCTTCCAGCTCTTCCCGGGGATCTGATGCTTACGGGGCAGCTGAGCAAGCCGCTGCTCTCGCTCATGCGCGGCGGCAGCGACATGAGCGCGCTGGAACTCGCCGGGCGGCCGGACGACAAAGCGGCCGGCAGCCCCGGCAGCGAGCTCAACGACGAGACGACCATCCTGCCGGCCGACGGCCTCGAGCGGGATGGCGCCCCCGCAAAACTGTACGGTGAGTGGGGGCTGCGCGTCTGCGTCTCGCTTTCGAGTGAGCACCGTGTTGTGCTGCAAACTTTCAAGTAGGAGTTGCAACTTACTCCCATTTGGCTCTTCTCGTGCTTCTATACTTTGCTGGTTCTTTTTAGGAAGCAATAAAATGACATTTGCTCGAGATGCTGTACGAGATCCAGGCCCGGAGCTGCATTTCAATTTAATATTTCTATTTTTTTTTTTTTATATGTTTCTCGAATTTAGAATGAATTGTCCCACAAAGTGTGAAAAAAGTGCGTTCTTCGTCATTTTGCGACAGCTGATAGTTTCCTGTTCTATTTACCTTTTTTTCTGCATTGACAAAATGCTGAAATGATCCATGAATTGGTCATTAGTCTGCTCAAATGAAAACCTCTTCATTCAAAGTCAATGACAACAATTAATGTAAGGTTGAATGTCTTTTTGGAAGAAGGCCCTGTATGAACAGGACCATACCAGCACTGATGCTAATTGTTGTCACTTGAGGTTTTCCCACCGCCTCTTTCAACTGAGGCCTTGTTTTGTGGAGTGCAAGAATTATTATTACAAGACAGATAAAAGTAGCATTGGTTTTATCAGATTCATGACAGTTTCAACTCTTTGCTTAGTGTGTGTGTGTGTGTGTGTGTGTGTGTGTGTGTGTGTGTGTGTGTGTGTGTGTGTGTTATTTTTATTCCTACCGTTTTATTATTTTGACATCAAGCTGTCCCTATTTTTTTTCCCCTATTCTAACATGTTACTTCAGTTTTCAAAATGCACTGCATTTGCCAAACATGAAATTTGACATCGCGACTTTCATGGGAGTTGTCAAAAAGATTCAGCAGAAGAATTTGCTCGAGTGTTGAAGCCAAATATCGCTTCCAAACTTGCTCAGTTTTTTTATCATTTAAATTTAATGCTTGGTCGGGACACCAAATGGTTGGATTCATTTTCAGCAAGTTGCAGCATTTTTTTTTCCAAATTACTCATCGTCCAGGATTTTTGACACTGGAAAGGTTCTTTGCAATTGTGTTTGTGTGGCTGCTTGCGTGTGACCGATGACGCCACATTTGATCGTCACCGGAGATGTTGTTGCAGATGTTGTTTCGGATGCGCTCGAGTGTGAATTTGAGGAGTTGTCGGTGGTGGCGGCGGTTGTGGTTCCTCTGTTCTTCTTTGCCCGGTGGCAGCGCTCTTGGCTGTGGACTGTCTTGCACTTTCCTCACCGACCTGTCAGCTGGAAAGAGAGACATGGACGAACACTCAATGTAGCCCGATGACAATATTTGTATTTTCCTCTCAATGTCCAAGGTAGACAACACTGCTTTCTCTCAATTTTCACCACTTGATTTGCTGTTCATTTTGGATATTATTTTCTCTTATGCCCCCCCCTCAACTCTCTGCCATGACTATAAATGGGAACAATTGTTTTAAGATGATTTCACTAGACCTGTGCGTAACCTTGTGTCCTGAACATTAAACATTAAACAAAACAAAAAGGAATTATCGATCAACTTAAATTTAAAAAAAAAAAAGACACTTTATGAACATTGTTTTGAAGTCTCTTTACGTTTCTTGTCATCATTGTTAAATACTTTCCCCTGATATGTCTCTTGAGGGTTTGTTCACTGCAGGTCATATCTCCTGTATTGTGAATCTGTGTGCTTGGTGCAAAAAAAAAAAAAATTGAGTACGTACAACGCACACACACATGCCACTACCACCTATTGTACTGCACAATTACATTCGATTCTAGTAAAAATGTGTTCCCTGGGGTGAATCACCCACCCCCACCCCACCATCCCCCACAGCATTGCAGTGCCACCCTCTGGGGGCCCACCCCACAATTTGAGGACTGAGTTACAAGGAAATGCACATGACGTATGACACGCTCACAAACACGGTTGACATGCCACCTGCAAAAAGAATAAATAAATCATGCTGTAAATTGTTGCGATATTTTAAAGCGGTTCAGGTTCAGGGGTTGAAGTTAAGGCCATTAACGACATGTTTCAACGTTCTCAAAATGTCAGAGTGAGACTTATTCCATCCCTTACACAAAAGGCCCTATTTTGCCACAAAAAAAACACTACTGCGCTCCTGTAATTTAATGCCTGTTATTTTAGTGGTACATAGAGAGCCTTCGAGCCTTTTTTTTTAAATACTACCTGGTGTAAAAAGTGAGAACAGCCTTGTTTTAGGTTCTTCTGATGTCGCAAGCAGACCTCCGCGATGACAGTAGAGGCCGTGTTTGTCCAACAACAAATTGTGAACCTGCCGAAAGAGCGCGCTCCACCTCCTCCTCCTCCTAAAAGCTGGCCTGTGCAAATAGTCTTCCACTTGAGCTAACAGGCGCTATGAAGCACCGCAAACACGCCGCCGCTGCTGCCGCCTTGCATTTTATTCCCGAGCAGAAGTCCTGGACATTAGGTGTGGAAAGCTGTTGTTAGTACGAAGGTAGACATTTGCGCTGTTTTTTTTTTTGGGTGGGGGGGGGAGTTTTTGTGATGTGTGTTGCAGCTTCTGTCTTCACTCCTCAAGTCAAATCTCCCTCTTGCAGACATCAGCCGACAAGATAATAAGACACTCAGAGCACAATTCCACATTGTGTTGGGCGAGTGGAGGCTCATCTCTTGTCAGTTTGCATTTAGTCGTGCGAGGATGTGACGCTTGGATCATCACGTTGTCAAAAGCGAACCAGCCCGGGAAGGACAGCAGCGCTCATCTCGCGCACTTAGTGTCGGCGCCAAATGGGCCGCACTTATGCCCATTGCTACAAAATGGTGAGGCGCTTTCGCACAAGGTCACCCACAAACACTACCCACGGCTTTTTATTTGAATTATTGGGCACGGCGAGTCATACGGATCAAAATATACATTAGTGGCTATTATTAGAGCGAGCTCTTGAAGCTTTGTTTGCAGTCCCGATTGTTCAGTTTCCCCAAGCATTCAGTGTTGGGATGTGGCTGACATCGGTTTAACGGAAAGCTTCCCCAGCATAGAGTCGATTTGTTAAGGCAGAACCTCAGCAAACCCCCGTAAGCAGGAAATAGATGATGAATTCTGCCACTTTGATTTGAAATCAGACATTCTTGAAAACAACCGAAAGTCTCGCGGTGATACGTTTGACAAACGTGGCAGCCACACTGGACTGCCCATTCGACACCTTTTGCCACAAAAACCGACATTGCACGATTATTTGGAAGCATTTAGGGTCGCACGGTTTAATTTATGAAAAAGGTTTAGCCATACTTTCAAGAAATGAACCCAAAAAAGATTCGCTCAAGCCCCTTGTACAGTTTAGGGGTTGGAGTTCAGACACAAGCCCACATTTTCAAGTCACTCAAAAATGTCTGTTTACTATTAATTCCTTCTAAAAAGTCCATAGTTCGCCCCCTAAATGCTCTATTTCTGCATATTTTAAGCCAGTTTGAGTTTCGGGGTGGAAGCTAAGGCACATGAAGTCTATTTTTCAAGGAACTCGGCTTGAGTTTTTATTACTTGTGTATACTCAGCCTCCTAATGTTCAGTAATAAAGTGGCGGAAAGCAGTTGTGAATGGATAAAAGTCGAGAAAGCAGGTGGCATACACTAACTAATACACTCACAAATGCGTATCTCACTCGCTACTGGTGTACCAAGCTCGCTAACAGTGTAGCGTGGAGCTCACTAGCTGTGTAGCACGCTTGCTAATGCGTCCGTCTTGGCGTGAAGACGAGCGCTACATGTTCTTGAGTGAAGGTCGTTTGGTTTCATGTCGACTTTGTGCACAAACTTGTTTTTGTCTTGTCAGGAAAGTAGGAAGCAAATTGAATTTCAATGTTAATTCTGTTTGTGTCTGTGTGTGTGTGTGTGTGTGTCTGTGTGTGGTTGTGTGTGTGATACGCCAGTGTAGCGTGCTCTCGCTAATCCAATACCGGCGAGCCTTTAATGTGCTGCTAACAAAGCGGCACAGTCGGTGGCAGCGAACCGCAATTCAAGCAGCACGAGTCGTGGTTTTTTTTTTTTTGATCTTTTTTTTTCTTCTTTTTTTTTTTGAGGGGTGCGCACGAGGGAGGTGGGCTGGGGGTTAGAGAAATGACACGTCTGGTATTTGACTGGTGTGGCGTGAACCAGAGACGCATCCCGGCAGCCCGTGTCCTTCACCGGCCTTTTATTATTTATAACGTTGGCTCTTTGAGCAATGACCAGTACTAATGCGTAACCTTCTGTCCCGCCGGCTGATTCTCTTCCTTTGAAAGCAAAAGATTGAGGCGGGAGAAGTGGGTGGATGGTGGATGAGGCGGGCGGGCGGGGCGCAAATAGCGCGGAGAGGGAGTATGCGCGTGTGTATGTGATCCAGGGAAGTTATTATGTTTCTCCTCTTTTATATCTCAAGATGTGGAATAACACCCTGATGCTGCTTTTCGATTGAATAGAATTATGGGCTTCAAAGCAATACTGTTTACACACACGCACACACGCACACAATCGTTTCCCCCAGCAGAATAATGTGCTGGCACGATGGGCAAAAATATTTGTTTGTTGGGAGAAATGAGCTTCAAAAGTCAAACAAAACTTGGCCAGTCTGTCGTTTTTTTCCCCTCCATGCTGTAATTTGAAAGCTGTTCAGTTTTGGAGTTGTGGCATGTAAGTAAAAAATGATTTAAAAAAACAAAACAAAACTGTAATTTCCCAACTAATTGTTTACTTCACAAACATGGCCGACTATCAACAAAAGCAGCTGCTTTTTTTTCATCAGAATTTGAAAGCAGGGTGGATTCAAGGCTTGGAGTTGCAGCGTTTCATAAAAATGCTGCCAAAAAGACTCACTAACTATTCACTCCACAAAAGTGGACCACAAACACCGAAAGCAGTCAATTTTTCACCACCGATCGATCTGCTATTTTTCACGGTAATTTTAAAGCTGTTAGGTTTCAAGACTCGGTTGTTATGGCATGTCACTTTGACAAAAAAATATTTTTTCAAACTGTCGGAACCCAACGAATATACACCCACAAATATG